AAAAATAAGAAGAGAACTTAATTAGTCTTAATCAGCTCTAATTCGATCATTACTCGTTACCAAGGCTACATAATCAGGTGAAGAATTGATAAATTGCAAGTAACGTATTCGCTAAGCAAATTTGTTGAGAATTTCATCAGGACAAGTCACTGTAAATGCTATATACCTGCGGTGGAATATAGTTTTGCTGTGGAGAAGAGGATTTGTCATCATATCGTTCGGTTTCCTCACTGCCGACACTGTACATTGATTGTTGTACATCCAAATCTTCATTGAGCTTTTTTTGTTGAACAGTACGTTCTGTGGGAAACTGTTGGACAGTATTTTGTGGTCTTAAAAAGGAGGTATTCTGCTGAGGTTCCCATAAAGCTGCAAATTTTTTACGGCTATAACAAACAAAAATGCATAAAGATAAAATCATAAGCTTATGACAAAAATAAAGCATTTCTTAATGCGCTTCATAGAAAGAAAAAAAAAACTTGAAGCAAATAATAGTTTTAGAATTAGACGACTGAACAGTTTGTTTAAAGCACAGATTAAGCTTCAAAAGTTTTGAACCAACAGATTCACTGATGTTTATACTCATAGTATCAGTAATAATAACCGTTTGCTGCCTCAGCTTAAACACATCTACTGACTATTTAGCAGCAGTCTCTGATCGGTACACAGCAATACAAAAGTTGTTTCTAGAAACTTGTAAAAATTTTGCAGCTCACATGTTCACAAATTTGTAAAAAACAAAAAAAATAAATAAATAAACACCAAAATTTAATCATTTTAAAAAAATACATATTACAATAATTCTTCTATTGATAATCAATCGGTAATAAAAGAAAGAGGGTTCTACGCAAAAAATGTGCAGACAGCAATAAAAAGAATATTTAATGGCTTCAGAATATACAAGAAATTTCAGTTTTCAATTACCGTAAAGCTAATTTTTCTCTTTACACTTGCTGAAAAAGTACCGTCAACCCAGATTTAGCAACACCTAAGCGCCAACGTTTATATCATTTTTACTGCGACAGTTCCTACAATTAAGAAAACTGAAGCAATCATAATTTATCTACGCTGTTTTAATGTTATTGAGCAACTTGAACTTGTTAGTCGCTTAATCATTTGAATTTATTGACTAATCACAGGTTTTTCTATTCTGCCAAGAAACATTAAAAGAACCATCACATTTTTTTTGGAACTGACAATGTCTTGTCAATTATAAGATGTGATGCAGTGATAAAAAGCTGATGTACAGCAAATATTGGTATTTTTAAAAATATTTTTTTATACTAGAAACAAAAATAACATGCTTTAGAGCTGTAAATTTGGAAAAAAAAGTAAGAGAAAGAAAAGAATGTTTTCTTTGTTGTTTTTGCGATCACTATTCATTAATATATGGTAGATAAATTGTCTCAAGTGTTTAACATAAATCTACTTGACAACAGCTATTTAATCCTACATCTTTATCGTCTAGACTACCAAACCAGATAAGCTAGAAGATTTTTTTTAACTTCAGCTTCTAAGTCTTCTATAATATTCATCAAACTATCGGACATTCAGTCTTAAAGACGACATTCCGCCTGTTTAGTAATCGATTATCATCTTATGATCAAAATGCCTAAGCTTAGAAGCTTTTATTAAGGAAAAATTTGGCACTGTATGTAAACCACATGTAAACCTTGTGTCCAGTAAATTTTATCAAAAAAAATGCCATTTATCAAAGAATGTTTTCTCCTTATCATAGCAAACAGTTTTCGTTTTTTTATACAGCCATAAAAGTATAAAATTATCTTAAAATGTCAGCTAAAAATTTTAAAAACTTGAAAGCACCTTATAGAGTTTCACCTGGTTTTAGATAAAAAAGCACAACAAGCAATTACTACACTTTTAACGGTTTATTTTTCAGATAAAAGAATTTACTCTCAAAGACTTGCAGTCATACGGTCGCTTCCTAAAGTTTTCAAAGTCTTTCAGCAGCATTTTTCGCGCAATAATTTAAGATTATAAACAGTACTACCGTAGTGTACAGTTCTACAAACATTCATTTTGGTTTGCACCTTTTGATTGCTTGACTATTTTAAACCGTTGCCAATATTTTGCTAATTTCTGTCAGCAATTAAATATATTTGCTTCAACTGCTAATGTGGTTACTTTACTTAATGCATTAAAACAATAAAAAAAACCTCGGTTTTGATTCTTAACTGCCATTTAAATACAGATATTTCAGATTAATTTTTCTTATCAAATATACATCAACAGCTGGGGTAGAAAGACTGATAACTTACTTTGTGGAGTTGAAAAACCATCTGTTCTGCGATTTTCACCTCTGTTATAACTTTCAGTTGGATATGGTTGATGCTGCCGATACGTAACTGGTTTATTATCCAGTTTTGCTCGTTGAGTAGTGGATATCTGCGGCTGGGTACGGAAACGTTGTGCTGGCCTTCCTTTTCGCATGTTGTTTCGATTCTGCTGCATTCGATTCGGCAGTCTGTCCTTAATCGGAGCATTTTCCTGAATTTTCGTTAAAGGAGCACGAAGTCGCTGTTGCTCATTCCGCTGTTCGGTACTCTCTGCTCGAACACTGTCATTTGGTTTCCTGATAAGCATAAAACTGTTCATATCCTGTTCTAATAGTTCTGAACATCTAGAAAACTAATATTTTAGAAAAAATGCAAACAGAAACAATGTAAAAGAGTAAGGTAATACTTGTAAGTAATAAAAAATAAACAAAAAAAATAAAAAATAAAAAAATTACAAAAAATACTAAATTATAGACAAGTAGACAGATAAAAAAATTGGGTTTATTGTACCGTAAGACTGCAGAAATATTGCGATACGGTTGACGCTTCGGATAAGTGCCTTGAGTTGGCTGATATGATGGCTGTTTAGTTGTACGTCTGTCATAATTAAGTCGATATGTATTTGTTACTGATATATTTGAATAATTTGAAGCTGCATCCGGTTTTCGTTGTTTTTGTTGCTAAAAAATTAAAAATTATTAAACGTGTGTTTGTCGAGGTAAGGAATAAGATATTAACAAGACTATTGAAGTAGAAAAAAATAAAAAGGGAACTTTTTGTTATGTTTTATGATCTTCTCAAACCATATTTTTTTTCTTATCAAAAAACTTTAATAGAGAAGTATTGATTTTTGTTGTCTTATCTACTAAACAGTTAATGTTTTTGACGATTTTGCTCAACTATTACTTTCTAACTTTAACAGTAATTATAACGATCATACTGTGTTTGGTGAATCGTATTGACACCACCCACACGGAGGAAACATTTTAACTTTTTTAACTGCATTAGGCACATCATTGTATTGAGATATATCAGTGTTTGGGGCTCGTATAGCTGCAGCTAAACGACCACAACTAAACAGCAATTTGAGCAAATCAGACGACGTTCATACATAGTTTCTGCTGGTTAAAAAAATTACTATTGAAACTGCTGTTGAAATTATTGAAACTGCTGCCAACTGCTGTGCTCAATTAACAACTGAAGGAACTAATTACTAAACGTCTGTTTCACAAACTGGTGTTCATTCAATTATGATTGTTAAAAGTTTAAGAAAGCGTCTATCTATTTCATATCCAACAAAATTCCATTGATTACCGGTCGTAAATGAGGTGGTCATGAGGAATTGCACTGATCTGTTTCCATGCTGAACCAAACTCAGAATCTACCCAAAATTTAAGGCCTGTGTATTTCCGGCGTTTTTCAGCTCCAGCATCATAGAATGTATTGCTTGGCGAAACAATCAGTATATGAAGATCCTTTTCATTGTCCCATAGCTGTTGAAGCCTTCAGATAAACATATAGACATAATGTTGAATTTAGATAAAATTTGCACGAGTTATTGAGTGAATAGTACAACCGATGATCAACCACCTGTGGTCGCATTGCAATTCCATCAGTTGCAAAAAAACAATTTTTAAAGCAATTAATTAAACGAAACGATAATAGCAGAAAAATGTAATAATGTAAGAGAAGCAAATTGTTTAAACGTTCTGACTGTCTAATTTTATTTTAGTTGAAATAATATATCTTGAAGAATCAGCAAAACGAACACAAGCATATAAAATCATGATTGATGAGACGACCTAAGAGATTACACAAAAAATGTTGAGAAATTACGTAGTTTCTTCGGATTGCTCAAAGATCTTTTTCACCATTTAGTGGTCTTCCCCACAACCCCACAAAAAATACGAAGACTTTATGTTACTTGACTGAGAAAGACGCAGTAATAGTATTTTGAAGCAACATATACTTCATACAAAAATGTAAAGATGATGCAGCATTCAGAAAAAACTTGAAACCTACTGACTCAATCGCTCATCGCAGTCATGGCAATCAAGCGGCATAAAAACGACCAGTGTGATATGTCCACGGTGTCTTGAGATAACATCGAAACCAGCAATTGTCCATGATGCTTTGTTGCACGACTCCGGTAGAGCCTGAAATTGAGCTTATTTAATTCAAAACTTACTATCTTATTGTTTAGCAACCTCGGCTGCTGCTTTTACATTTAAATTTTGAAAAAAAAAAAACAAGCAAAATGGAAGATTTATTTTTTTCTGCTAATTTTGTAATTAAAAGTTACAGTAAAAAGATTATTACAGAAAAAATTTCTTAAACATAACTCTTTTTCTTTTATTCTTTTTTTGTTTCTTACTTACTTCAGCAACAAAAAACTTGCAAAACAAAAAATAGATTCAAAAAGTCCGAATTTTTTAGGGTTACACTATCAGACACCAACACTGAAATAGCCATATAAGACTTCTAGCTTTAAATAAATTCAAAAAAAAGATGAAGAGAAAAAAAAACAAAACAAGAAGTATTTTGAGAACCTTAGAGAAACTGGCAACAACAGCAATAGTTATTAACAACAGTTCAGTAGATTGTACCATTATGAATGCTTCAAACAGACAATTGTTTAGCAGATGTGCCTCTCGTTTGGTTGTATTTAAAGTTTTTTACATCTCATTTCTTCTCTATCATCATCTGCTTGCTTAATTCACACCTTTAAATCTTTTATCACATTCCAAAAAACAATAGAAAAACTTTTCTTCTTCTTTTGCTTTTTTTTCTTTTTCTTTTCTGATCTTCACAGAAGAGCAGTTAGTTAAGCTGTCATACCCTACAACTTTTTCAAAGATTTCCTGCTCTTTCTTCCCTCTTTTTCTCCTTTTCTACACTTTCCAGGCCGAAAAAAAAGATGTTATAAAACGAAGGACAACGAATGAGGCTGTAAGAGAATTTATATTTTATAGGTTTTTGTTTTTTTCTGTGCACCATTTTCAACACTGCAGTTACTAGGATAAAAAAGTTTCTTTTTCAGAAAGAAAAGGCGAGAATAAGGATTTCTTCCTTGTCTATAGTTCTATAGTGAAATCTAAAGAAGAAGGGTTCTGCATAGACAGCGAAATAAGTAAATTTTTCAAACTAAAGTTGAACAAAGTTTCAATTCTTTTCCAAATAATAGACCTCTTTATCTCATCACGGAAATTTTGCAATGTTTTCAGATAGTTCTTCATCCATTCCCAGTTTCACTCAAGCAATTAACTGTCTAGAAGTAAACAATATTACTATAATTGCTTTTCAGAATATTTGAACTCTGAATTTCAGAATTGACCTCCATCCAGTTCTTTTCTTATTGTGTCTGTTCTATACCGCTTTTTTGTTAACTTCCGGCGTTTACTGTCTTCTAAAGCATAATAATGGCTTCGTTCTCCCGCTGAGGCTCTTGAGCAAATAAATGCGCTAATCTTTGCCTAAGCATAGCCATTGAGCCTTACGTACATATCCTCAATCCCCTCTTGACTTATTTTCCCATAATAGAGATTACTCGGCTAATGTGCATAGCCGTAAGGACGCAGGAAGGATAAGCAAAAAACTTCCTTTGCAAAAGTCAGTTCACGCAAACGTAATCTCAGCTGACTATCTTCTTCCTTGAACAAAACAGATAGGGTTGGTTCCAGCGATTGCAGTGGCCCACAACAACGGAAGGCAAGCGCAAAAAATCCTTCTATATTTACAAGGAGCGAAACCAGAAAGCAACTTAACGCCTACGCGAAGAATGGCAAATACTTTGTAACAAGAAATTTTTATTAGCAGTGCAAACTTGGTAAAAATGTTTCCTGTATTTAAAGCAACTTGAGAATGTACTACGCAGTACCGTTATGTTGTTTAGTTTGTTTTTTTCACAGTGTAACCTTTTTGGTAGCAAAGAAAGCTGAAAACTAATTCATCATCTTCAGCGTCAGCAACAACTGTGATTCGGCAGCATACTGTCAGTTCCATTATCGAAATGTCTTTTTTTGGGCCCAAAAAGCCGTGATATCAATGTTGCACTAATGGCTTCTATAATTGAGCAAATCAGTTACTTTGTCATATAAATGAAACTATTCCTGCTTCAGAAGTACATAACAGCTAACACTGCGCATTGATGTATGGATAGTCATACGCACCTATGTACCGTGGACTAACTATTCTTCTACTGTTTTACAATGATATCTATATACAGAAAATTTTTAGCGCTAAATATTTTTATATCACACTACGCAAAAAGTTTTTCTACCTAAATTCCAAATGCATTTTACGCACAAAATAGTTAATCATTTAATCAAGAATTTGCAGTGGATAATTCTAGTTGCCATCCTACCATTCACCCACATACCATACTGCCACTTCACGACTTCCAACAGCTATACTTACGACGTCCACAAATATTGCAATTTTTTGGTAAAACAGTCACTGGCAACAAATTATGTTCATCAAATCTGGCGACTTCCAACACTCGAGTCAATTGTAAAGTGGCCCACTGCGCACAGCTCCAACAACAATGCGATTCCAATCATTTTTTGAGTTTTCTTTATAAACTTGTTTATAGAATTAATACAGAGGCGGTGGTAATTTCGACATTAATAACAAATATATTTAAAAGATGATTTCATCTGCTAGCGGCAAATACTTTCTAATTTTTGATTTTTTTTTCACAGATTTTGCCGTTAACTACCAAACGGGTTTCAAACGGTCTCTTGTCAACGTCCTTTTTTATTTCTCGCTGTTGAACTTTCAGGACTTCCAGTGAAGAAATACCCTTTCTGCTAGAAACAGCGAATAGACCAAATTCAGTGTACGTATCTATCAGTATCAACTATGGTACTTTAGAGTTAAGTGTGCACTGTTAGCGCTGTTACCAGTTGGACGAGACTGTAACAATGATCAAAACAAGTTTTCAAAACAACAGTTTCCCGGACTGGAAAATGCAGTACCATCTTTAGCTTAATTTTGCGGTATAGATATCAACATTTCCCTTTCCTGTAGACAATGCAAATGCAAACGCACTTAAGAAGATTGTTTCCTTTTCGGCGCATAAACTACTTCAGACAAAATTTCATTATTTAAATGGTTTTTCCTTACTGTACCTGCGTTATTGTAACAAAAAACCAACAATACATAAGCAC